ATCTGACTCGCTCTAATCGAAAAGAACGTTTTGGCTTTACACGCACTTTAATGGCTTTCACTACTGTAGAAGTAAAAGTTTGGTTCCAGGGCTGACTAGAGATGATTTTTCCTTTTTAAAATTCTCCTGGACAGGTTTGGGATTTTGAGTCAGTCATTTTAGCAGCTGCAATTTCAGAGGCAGTATAGAATGGCTACATCCAATCATATTGTGATATGTAACATAATTTCAAATGTAGTTATTACTTATCACCATGGAGAAACATTTATTATGTGTGGTGAGCACTAAGCCTGAGATGAATGTGAAGTCGGTGTGGACAACATCCTGGTTAATTCTGTGTTGATATGTTTTTGTTTGGTAGGTCTTGGATATCCTGCAGAACATTCAGGCTTTGGACCCGTCGCAGCATGGTGCTGTGGCATATCTAGTCCAACATACTTTGGAACATATAGAGAGAAGGAAGGATGACAGTACACTTCATACAAAGCTGAGGTCCAATGAGAAGGAAGTGTGTTATTCTGTAGGACTTATTATGAGACATAAAAGGTATGTTTATATTGTAAAGTTAATTTTAACTTCTAGTGTATTCACAGAGTCCATTTTCTATCCTGCAGCTGACTCGGAGAGCCGATTTAGCAGGTCCTTGTAGAGCAGTGGTTCTCAACCTTTCTAGGCCGGGACCCCTTGGTAACATTTGCAAAGTTGTGGTGACCCCCAACGGTAAAATTTAGGGTTGACGCGACTGCTGCAGCGACATCTGGCGGCGTGGTGGGAGAACTGACACTGCTGCGCTAAGAGAGGGCTGAAAGGGACTCTCACTGAGCACAGCAGAAATCACACAGCGACCCACAGGTTGAGAACCACTGTTGTAACAGCTAAAATGGCAAACCATATAACGCAAGCCGAGGGTGTCAACTTTTATTATTAATAATAATGATGATAATCTAATAGCTATCTAATAGTGGGAGACTCCCGGCGACCCCTGGCAAATTGTCATTCGACCCCCGAAGGGGTCCCGACCCACAGGTTGAGAACCGCTGTTGTAGAGTAAGCAGCAGAAAGTCTAGCTTAAAGTGCTTTTTGTATCGAATTGTTCATACTTTAATTTACACACAGCTGCCTGGGTCAGACTTACACAGCATCAAATATTATTGTCCTGGAAAGGTTTAAATGCGCATGTAGTTCCTGTGCTTATGAGGTTCATACAGAGTATCTTACTTGAGTTTATGGCTCATCATGAAGAGTTGTAGTGATGCCTTGTTAAAGTGCAACTGATGCCAAAACTTTTTTTGTAGACATTCACCCTTTCTATTTGCCCTGGTGACCCTTATCCCTGAAAGTAAAAAAAGAACTTCAAATTTTGGATTGTCATTAGAACAGGAATAGATGGGAAATCTTCCTTTATGGACACTAGTTCTGGTGACCCTGCTGACCACCAGATTTCCCTCTTTGGAGGGATTTCCTCTCACTTCTTGTTGGGGCTATCGGGCAGGAAGTGACAGGAATCTCCCAAATGGGACACAATGGCAAAAAAGCTGACTGAGGATCTAACTTCCATTAATCTATACAAAACTAAAAGGGAAAAAAGTAGGTAAATATAACTTTTACTTTGGTGGCTATGTTTCAAATGCATCATGAAGCCTATTCTTGGTTAGAACACCCCTTCTTGTTTAGCTTTTCTGTTCCGTGAGCATAGGGCTGAAGGTTCTTTCAGCATTAGAGTGAGTAAGGCATTTACTTTGGCTTTTGGCTTTTTTCCTTTAGTCTGGGTGCCTGAAGCTTCTCTATGTAATACTTTAGTAAGATTTGTATGCTAAATTGATAGTTTTGCAATGTAATATCCGCAGTAAAATAAAATAAAAATATGCCAATCAACATCCCATCAATCTTCCAATAAACAAATTGTTCATCACATCTTTTCACTCTTCTGATTTTCAACCCATTTTTCACTTTTCCAGATATGATTATAGTTGTGTAATCTTCAGCTGGGATCCTTTGTGTATGATGCCACCGGACTGGATGGAAAACCTGGACCTCTACCACCTCTCAAAAGGAATAGCGCAGCCATTTTATAGTGTGCTTCTTGATGATGGTACTTGTAATTATGTCGCTCAAGGTGGGTGAAGACAATTGGCTTTATCGACAATTAAATTGTAATCTTAATTTGTGCTATAGTATCATTTAAATAGAATGCATAGTTGTACACGCTGACCTTATTTAATAAGATGAAAAAGGAAATGTAAAAACGTTTCTATTTTTTTTTAGTAAAGTAAATATGAAATATTATTAGTGTAGGACACACTAGACATGGGGACCCTTGGTGTGTGTGTGTGTGTGTGTGTGTGTGTGTGTGTGTGTGTGTGTGTGTGGTGAACCTGCATATTTTGCCCAAACTACAAACGAATATCACATCTTCATGTATCTTCTGGAGAACCCACTTAGACTTGGTTCACACCTAGGTGGTTTCAACTTTGCGTGTTTATCGCACAATTTTTTTTCTGCGCATTTTTGCCTTTAAAAAGGCATGTTTCTCCCAGCATAGAGATGTCTATGGGACCTAAACCCGCTCGACATCCGCCTGAAAATAGCTCCTGCGTGACAGCCGTTTCCCACACGCGACTCAACGCTAAGCTGTGAACAGTCACCATTGACTTACATGGAAATGTGTGTTTTTGCGTGTTTTAGCGCAAGTAGATCCACGCGGAAAAATGCTCAGGTGTGAACCAGGCCTAAAGGTTCCCTTTAAAATGAAACTAAACGTACACATACCTCTGCTCCAGTAAGCTCCCTCGCCAGCGCCAATTTCTTTGCCCAGTCTTGTTTTGGATTTGGCCTCTTCGGGGCAATCTTGATTAGCCAGCCAGGGATGATGTAGCTTATGCGCATGTGATGACATGCACAGAGCAGTTAATTTATCCCAGCATTGTGCAAGCACTATAAATGATTTGTTTGTAGTATAAGTAATACTAACTTAAATGATTAAAGTGATATTAAAGTCAGTCCTTTCCCTTGCAGAGAGTCACCCTTGTATGTGCTACTAAGCTGCGCATGTCTCCACAGGCACAGCAAGGCTATCTGCTCCCTTCTTCCTGCTCCTCCTACTCCAAGCTAGTAGATTGACAGCTGCTGGAGATTTCTCTCTGCCTTGTGATCTTGTACTGGACAGCAAGTTCAGGGAAACTAAACGCTGTCTCCGCCCCCACACCGCTCTGCCGCACTGTGATAGGCGGCCGAGCGGTGTGATATCAGCGCTGTGATAGGCGGCCAAGCGGTGTGGGAGGAGAGACACCGGCCTTCACAGCGCTCGGCCAGCTGTCACTTTATCTCCTCCCCGCTGGGACACAGAGCAGCGCCCAGCGGGGAGGAGAGAAACCTGGATGTGCCGCTGTATCGGCAGGAAAATGGCACTTTCGGCATTTAGCGCCAAATTTTTGGCCGATATATCGGTGCATCCCTAGTTGTGAGGGTTTGTATTTTGGGGTTCTGAAAGCTTGCATTAGGGGGTCCTGAAATATTCTAAGGTGGTCCAAAAAGCTTGACCATATCAGCTACTGGTACATTAAATACATTAAAGGAGAACTATGAGGTGAGTGCTTTTCACTCACCTCATAGTTCTAGCCGACCTGTGACAATGAGACTGTCACAGGTCGGCTCAGTAGATCGGGAGGTGAGCGAACACACCGGCATGCGCTCACTTCTCGATCTTGTCACGGCTCTCTGCCGTGACAGGGGAGGGGCAGGATTCCCCACTCAGATCCTCCAGCGCTGACTGGCGGGAACGGACGGGGGAGGGGTCGGGTACAGCTGGCTCTGCCTCTAGATAGGCAGAGCCAGCTGTCACTCACGCAGCTGGGCGGATCCAGACATAATTGTCGGGATCCGCTTCAGCTGCGGCGTCTTAGTATACAGCAAGCTGTAGCTCGTGGTATACTGAGCTTAAGGTGATGGGAGGACGCTAGTTTGTGTCCTCCCGTTACCCTAAGGGAAACTCTAGGGAAAAGCCCTAACCCCATAGTTCTCCTTTAACACTATGTTTTGTGAAATGTGACATGGTACACAATGATTTATCTGTCCCTAACTTATTCAAATACTACAAACAAGCTAGAGCCGCTCACTAATCTCTACTACTGAATCTTCTAACAAATCCTTATAGCCTTGTAACTGAAAACTATTAGATGGTTGTAACAGGTGTCCTCATTGAAAGATGTCACCCTCATAAATGTAGTAATGCTTTGGTACTAATTTCTTTTTACATTTGTTGCAGAGGATCTTGAACCACATCCATCTCCAGCAGAAATAACACATCCAGATATAGCCCTTTACTTCTCAGAGTTTGCAGGAGACCGCTACATTACAAATAAAGAGCTGCAGCTTCAGTTCCCAGAAGATGCGGACTTTATTGTCCAGCAGAGTGCGGAGGGTCAGCCTGATTCTTCACCCCAGGAACCATGATTTCTGTCTGTTTTTTTTTTTTAGATCTACTGCTGGCATAGCTATCACACAAACCTGGTAAGTCCAGGATTTGTACCAGCACAGAACAGTGCTGTGTGTTACAATTAAATTATTTGACGTCCCATAATAAGACGCGGTTATTTTTATAAGAATAGTGCTCCCTCTCCAGGAACACAAGAGCCACCATGCTTGTTAATCTAATAGCCCTTGAGCATGCTCATACTTAGCATGCTGAATAGATATGTAATATAAGATAAAGTAGGTTAAGGATACAATACTCCTTTATTAAACAAAATAACCGGACCCAATTCTGCATATTTAAAGAAAAATAACTTGTGTTATTTAATTACCTCTATATGCCTAAAATAAACCAGCAGCAATTATTTATTTCACCTTGCTGTGTTCTATTAGGTTTTTGAATACATGCATTTGGGCAGGTTCACCAATAAGCCATGTTACTACGAGATAATTGCTCTATATTGCACTGATCTATAGTATAGTTTTCAGACCCGGGGAATTTTGATTATTAGTAATTGGTAGAGTTTATTTATTTTATATCTAACTTCTTCCTAAACGAACCAATGCTCATAAAGCACCAGAGAACACATCAGTAACTAAGAATAATGAATTATGTGTAAAAGCTTCAGTAGCTTACCAAACACGTGGTTTATAGCCATGGGTGGGGGCAGCAGCTTGTTTCACTTGATGTCTGTTGAACAAGGCAATTGAAAGGCTTTGCAGTTGGTCTCCTTCCTCCTTGAGTTGGCTAATAACTGTAAAGCTGGCCATACACTTTACAACCATCGCACGACTTTCGTCTTGCGATGGTTGTAAGCTAATTAAAAGCTTGTACGATCTGCCCATCTTGGACAGGCAGATCGTACTTGCGATCACCGAAAGCCCGCCCCGCTGAGGGGAGGGCTTCCGAGGACTCCAATGCCGCCCGGCAGTTTGCGCATGCATTCTGGTGGCTGTACACTGGATAGAGTTGTTGCATAAAATTAATGTTCCTGGAATAATTGTGTAACATTCCCATGTATAAAATGTGAAAGATTGCATTGGTGGACCCGAATATATTAACATAACGGGATCTGGCAGTTTGTCCAGTTTTTCTTTTTGGCTGATTAAGCTGAGATGAATGGAGTGTTCTAACCATGCAGTGCTGCATGTTACTGCCTCATTACCAGTAATGAGGAATTTCCCAACAGGCACTGAACAGTGAATGTACATGTCAGGTAAAGGTAGGATGGATTATGTGTCCAGCATTAGGCAACTTGTGTTTTAGTCTCTAACCCAGCTTTTCATGCATCAGTATTCTTTTTTTTATTTTATTTAGGAGTGTTGTGTGAGTTGTATTATTTAGTGAATTAATAGTGAATTAATATTGAAGGAGGTCCGGTGAGTAACATTTTCATCGTGCCACTTATAATTAAAGGGTTAGTTTACCTTTTGTAACAAAAAAAAAAAAAACAGCCGATACAGAAGCCCAAGTAGGTAACATTAAACAAAGCAGCATTTTAAAATACATTATTACTCTGAGAAAGGCAGAATGGAATAACAGCTGTCAAGTGACAGCAATAAACATATGATCTTCAGTGAGAGGTGAGCACAAAGAGTAACGAGGATAAGGAACATCAAACCAGTCTAAAAAAGGGAAACTTGTAGTAGAACTATGGCCTCCCAATAGAAAATGAATATGTGCTGCAGTACTTGAAGGGTTATAGCCTATGCAGTCAAGAAGCTTTTAGCAATCTTCATTCAACTGAAGCCTACTCTCTGCATCTGCGACAGGGCAGACTTCGATGGGGGTGCAAATGGCCTAAGAGTATGGTAAATGCATCGATGCATCTACATGGAGCCGGCTTTCCGGCCAATCGGCATGGAGCCGGCTTTCCGGCCAATCGGCATGGAGCCGGCTTTCCGGCCAATCGGCATGGAGCCGGCTTTCCGGCCAATCGGCATGCAGCCGGCTGTTTGACCAGAAGGGCAGCCGGCAGGCGAGTCATTAC